GGGAATAATTTTCTCTACAAGAAACAGAATAGAGCACAGCACAGTTTAAAGTCTCAACAATCTACCTTTTCTAATATTACTAGAGGAAAACACCAAATTTTTGGTAACTATGTTTTCTAAAATTGCTTTTACAAAAATCAGTGTTTGCTTTGGGTTTGTTAAGCTAAATAATATTGTTTTAAAAAAAAACAAAAAACAGGACAAGCAGGGTGTGGTTGGGCATGCCTGTAATCCCAGCAGCTCAGGAGGCTGAGAGGAGAGGATCAAGAGTTCAAAGCCAGCCTCAGCAACAGGGAGGTGCTAAGCAACTCAGTGAGACCCTGTCTGTAAATAAAATGCAAAATAGGGCTGGGGATGTGGCTCAGTGGTTGAATAACCCTCAGTTCAATCCTGGTACCCCCACCCCCCTCCCCCACAAAAAAAGAAAAAAAACAGGACAATATTTAAAATTCAAAATTTGAACATATTCATTAAATATAGGAGTGAGTATGAAAAGGAATAAGGATTCAGAGGTGAGAGATTTATAATTCAGATTTAAAGGACAGGGCCAGTGTAATATCCCCCTTGCTGCCATGGCTTTTAGATATAGCCTGGACTTTGCATAAGCTCTCGAATTCTCATTTACTCCTACAATTATATAACATTAAACTGATATTCAATGTGCAAGGAAAAACATGTAATTGGGCGTACGTGGGGGGTGAGGAGTGGGGATGTGTTTAACCAACTCAACACTAGATGGCTCTAGTTACAAAACCAATGCATTTTGGAAAGCCTAAAACCCTAGACCCTTGTCATTCTGAAAACAGATGGATTCTAACCCACTCATTCAAATTCTGCTATCTTCCAAAGTCTTGCAGGCATTCAGAATAGTATTGAGCATTTATGTTTGTAATATTATGAATTGCCAAAAGAGCAGGCATAAATCCTAGAAGTCCTTACGGATAAAAACAAGAAATTGTACTGGCATAGCCTTGAAGGATGTATATTTAATTTGCTCTATAAATATTCCATTTTATACTTGTATAGTACTATATTATTTTTTAGTTACTTTCACATATATAAATTCATTTTATCCTCTCTGTAATCAAGGAGGGAGGTAAGGGAGGTAGATGTTTTCCTCATTCCAGGGCACTGAGACACAGGCAAAGGTAGAGGCTTACTCAAGGTTACATAGTTCCTAAGTTGCAATGTTGGGATTTGAACCTCAAGGTCCTGATTCCTGAGTCAGTGTTCTTTTCTACACAACAAGCATGGAAAGGAACTGGGCTTTTGCCCTCCATTGTATTTCTGAAATAACACTTTTCACCTTTTAGCACGCACCCCTCTATTTAATTATATATCTCCACCTACCTAACAAAGTTCAAAAACTAAATGTTAAATTCCTAGAAAAATTAAAACCAATGAAGAAATATTTTATTGAGGTGGGAGAAAAAGAATGACCAACTTCATATCCTTAGTAATCTTTGGTTTGGGAATTATATTTATGGTCTCTGTTTGGTATCCTGTACTTCTCCTTCATAGTATGTATCACAACTATTCTGAGTTCATCATGAAAGTATTTGCTTCATGTACCCTCTATCTGCTCAGTTAACCACTGAATCACTAAAGACTACTGCAGTATTTGGCAAGCTTTTAAAATTGTGATCAATGATAAAAAAATAAAATTACAATATAACAACTATACACAGACACACAGGTACTTGAAAAAAATCTCATGAACAATGCTTGCCCTTTCTAGGTGCAATTCACTTGGTATTTTCTATTCTATGTTTTAATACATTGGATATAACCTACTTTATTGATTATACAGCTTACCAATAGACTCAACACTCATTTTAAATAATTATCCACCTAACAAAACTCTTTGTAGAGAGTAGTTCTTCAGTAGTTGTTTAGAGAATAAACAAATACCAGGCACTAACTGGGTTTATTTTTACAAAGTTAAAAAAAAAAAAAAAAGACTTGGGCTGAGGACATGGCTCAATGGTAGAAGATTTGCCTGATATGCATGAAGTACTGGGTTCAATTCCCAGTGCTGCAAAACAAAAAACAAAACAAAAAATCTTGCCATCCTAAGTACACTGAACTCCCTGTTTCTTGTCCCAGGAACACAGACTTTCACCTGCATAGCCCTAAGTGTCATCAGCTGGCCAGGCTTACGAGATGAGCTGGGTTTAAAGGAGCTGGCTGTATCAATAACTAAGAAAACAGTGAAGAAACCACGCAGCACACAAACAAGAGTTTCTAAGAAAGACGGCAGGATGGCTCGGTGCCCCTAAGGGTCAGCTCCATGCTGGGCAGTTCTGTAAAGAGCAAGAGAGCAAGCACACCAGAACCCGCCCCCTATTAATTGGGGAGAAGACATTTGATAGAGTATTACACTCAAAGAAGGCAAGGGGTAGGGTTTTGAAGGGTGGAGTCTTGCTTGGTGATGTCTTGTGGTCAGCAGACTGAGTGACATCTTGGCAAGTCACACTCATCTCAGGTGCTGTGTGGGATCACAGGCAGAGAGAGAGAAAAGGCACATTTGTGTCCACACAGCCCAATCAGAAGGCAACGCCAGACCAGTCCCCTCATATGCTCAAACGTGCATGGCTCGCGACACCTGAGAAAAAGAAAAGCTGATCTATCATTTTCCACTTTATTTCCAACCACCACATCCCTGTTGCTGTAAAAAAATGCTTTAGAAAATCAAAAGCTATAACTTAACAATGCCATCAAATTCCTTATGATCATAGGCTCCTATGAGCAATACATGAATTGTGTTTTCCACATGACTGTAGTCCTGCTCCGTTGACAGTCAGAACTTACCAAATAAGGAACTGTTGTTTTATTTTTGTATCTAGTTTTTATGCACTAAATTTTTACATCCCAGTGAAATTCATATTTTGAATATCTAACCCTCATTGCAAAATGTTAGATGAGTTCATTAGTGTGGGACCCTGGTTAGGACTATTCCAATTATTGAAAAATGAGACTCAGGATTTCTTTTCCTGCATGCATGCACCTAAGCAGGCCATATGAGGATACACCCAAGAATGTGGCCCTACTGGTAATTTTGGACTTCCAGCCTCCAGAACTATGAGAAACAGATGTCTGTAGTTGAGTCCACCAGTGTGTGGTATTCATTTATAGCAACCTGAACTGAGACACTAATTAAAACTAATAGCCCTGACTGAAAATGGTTCAAATTAGATTTCTCAGCTTAATGAAGTAAAAATGATACACATTCAGTAGAAACTGTACTTCAAATTTTCAATCTTGATCTTTTCCTGGGCTAGTGATTTGCCATAGCATACTCTCTCGTGATACTAGGCAGTGGTAGTAAGCTACAGCTCCCAGTCAGCCATGCAGTCAGAAGGGGACAAACCACCACTCCCCACTGCATCATGTCACTAGTCTATAATGTTCTGTAGGTTAAGTATATTAAATGCAAAATCAACTTAAGGTATTTTCAACTTATAGTGGGTTTATTGGGAAGTAACCCAGTGTAAGTCAAGGATCCTCTGTAGAGCTCACTATTTTACCTGTTATATTTTGCTGTTTCTATCAGAAACCTAAAAGTCTCAACTTTCCTTTTTTTTTTTTTTCCTTCCTCTCCACTTATCACTATCCAGGCAACCAACCAAATAAAGCAATTAAGGAAACCCTCCCAGGAATGTCACTCTTGACATATGAATATGTCAGACCAAACTCAAAATAAGAATTCCCCATTCATTTGGGAATCATTCAAACCTAGGCTGAACTTTCCCTGGAAAAACCAATAATATTGCTTGGTGAAGGGATCTACTCTGAGGAAGTAGAAGGATATGACCCTCAAATAACTGGCCGGATGGGACATGAATGCTTCCCTACCTCTCACTCCAAGAACACAATTATAAGGCAAAACAATTAAAGGGTGCTTTTGTTAGGCTCTGATATGCATTGCATTGGGAAAAGATTAGGTAAATCAAAAAAGTTTTTCTCATATTTGAGAACTGAAAACTGTAGGCAGAACTAGTATTCTTTTATCTCCACTTTGTATAATCATAGATATGCTTAACTGGTACGTCTTCCTCTGTCTATATTATAGAAGAATTGCTGGTTCTGTATTTTTCTATAAACAAAATGTTCTCTTAATAGTTTTTTCCTATAAAATTAAACTCCAAATGAGATGATCTTCTAATTCTACTTTTGGAGCCCGTGGTTCACAACTCTTAAACCAATATTTATTCAAAATTAGGAAGGTTTCAGCTTTTCTTCTTATTTTTTTTTTCTTTTAAGTGGCCTTTTACCTTTCAGGATTTCCTCTACAGAATGAAGCCTTAACTAGAGAATTTAGTAGGTAGAGTATATCTTTTAAAATTCCATTTCTCTACTCCTTAAGAAACACAGTTACCCCTGAGATTTCACAAATGAACAATAGCATCACCCATAACCCCAGTGTGCAGTTGATTGTTATGCTTTCTCAGAGATGGAGCCCTCTCAAAATCTGAATGAGCAGCTTGCATAAAAGGAAGAACATTTTCCTCAACCCCATCTGGCCTTTACCTGTCCACCTGGTTATGTAAATGCTTTGTGTATGTTCAGTTTGTAAGCCAACATCTATCCACATACTTGACCTAAAACACTGCACTTCACTCATGTAATACAGTGATAGAAAAACCATAAAACAAAGGAATATTCTCCTAAATTGCCTTAGCCTTAATATCACTTTGGCATAGTAAAAAAAAAAAAAAAAAAAAACAAGGAAACTCAGATGAAGTAAAGCTTAGTTACCCAAATTGCAGTGAGTTCTACTTTTTAAATATTTAAGTCAATAAAATCCCTTCAAAGACTGTTTACCCCAATGTTTTTTAATGCAAAATACATTTCAGTTTTGCAAACAAGAAAGAAGAGTAGTTTTGTAGATTCGGTTTGGGTTGTAGTGACCCAATTATCTGGTCAAAGGGCTGCATGGATGCAAGAGACAGGGCGAGTTAAAGTTTAACTCCCAGGAATTGTAAACCAAACCTAAAGCCACTGAACCTTTGGAGTTTGATATGACGATTAGAACATAACCGGAGTGACACGTTGAATTCGCCATAATCAAGGAAACTTCTCCAGGTGGGGATCTCTGAAATTACTCAGGTATGGTCCACTCGTTTTGTTTTCTGTATTTCAATTCGGAAACTGTGCATTGTGGTACTAGTGAGGATGCATGAAAACAGCTTTTACTCTCTTCTATTCCTAAACCTAATCAGGGAAAAAAAAAATCCAGTTTGCTTTTACAATAACAAAATGAAATGAAAACAAAATAATATATTGGAATGGTCACATGATCTCAGAAGGAGATGTCTGCTATGTTTTGCTCCTTGATCTAAAACAAAAGTAGCTCAGGACTGTGGGGTCAAGAGTGCTAGAATGCTCTGAGAAGTTTATTTAGCTCTAGCCAGACATCATGCAGAGCTGTGGTGGACTTCCTGTCCTGGTCCAAGGACCCTGGAAACAGAAATGTAATTAACAGGAAAAATAATAGTAACATCCCTGGTAGATTCGGAGTTCTCTGTACAGGTCATAATTCCTATCATATTTTAGACTTAATGAATTCAATTATCTCCTTCACTACACTACCATAAAAAAAAAGAAAACCTTGTGGTGAATTCTTGCTATTTCCTCTGCCATTACCCTGCTAACCAAAAGAATGCCCTAAACTATTTGCTTTTGATTCTAGCAAAAAAGAAAACAAAAACAGTTATGGAAAATTACTGACATTTGTGTGTTAAAATTCAACCTTGGAGTGGCTAATTATTAGATAGTTTCCACAGTTTGGACAACTGTACTGTGGTGGATATATTTCCCATCATGGTATTTAACAGGATTATTCCATTCCTACCAGAAATCTCCTCAACTCTTTAATTGAAACACTTTTGTTTTATGATTACCCAAGTTAAGTTCCAAAATAGTTAAATAGACAAGTTTCTTTATTAAAAGAATTCTCAGTTGAACATTGTGTATCTTCAAGAAGATGAAGAATGCAATATTATATGTATATTTATAGGATTAATACTTTGCAAAATATACACTCTTAAGTCTTACTCCATTTATAACTTAGGAGCATCAAAAGTGTGTTGCATTGGCCTGAAGCACTCTTTATAACATGATGGAAGGCCCAGTGGGAGGATAGATCTGCGAAAAGAAGTGAAATCACTTACTTGTCAAAGCAGTAAGACTTTCTCCAGTTAAATACAGAGCAATAAAGAAATGACTTGCAGAGGTCAATCTTAAGGATGTTTTCTGGAACAACATTGATACTACCCATTTTAGACATTTTGTACATTTCACTGCTCCAATTTATTATTTATCAAGTGTAAGGGAAGTGAAAGGATAGTTGGCAAGAAAAAGAAATAAGTTGTTATGGGCAGACATTATGACACAATATATCTAAAAATCACTGACTACTTTGTCATTTCCAGCAGGGCTAATACCAAGTTAGTTTTGAAGTATTTCAAATATCAACATATCCTACACTGTACTGAATGGTTAATAAGTGTAGCATAAAAAAGCAACTCCATAGTCAAATAAGTTGAGGATATGGTGTTAAAGTGTCCTTCTTACTATTTGATATATGAGTCTTTTGAGTAATAACATTAAATAAGTACCATATTGTTAAATGCAGTTCCAAGCAGTCTCCATACATTTATCTCATGTTATTCTCAGAACAACCAGATGAGGTAGACACTATCATGACAAAACTGAGTTACAGACAATTTACCTAAGGCTTACTGTCACTCACTTAGCAATTGACGGCTCCCCCAGCCAGGTGGTCTTACTCCAGAGCGCTGATAGGGAGCCATTTACACAAGTGTGGGGGATTTGCTATGTGTGTAAATAGGTCCATTCATTGTGCATAACCAAGAGAGTAGGAAGTGTTTTGTTTCCTAAGCTGGACAACAGAGTATCTTCTTCCAGGAATATTTATTGATGCTTCTCAGAACTGCTATTCCTTGGAACAGAGATTAAGGAAGAATAAATCATTTTTATAGCTCATGCCTGGCATTCATAGCAGCCAGAATCAATTGAAATCATCACTTTTGAAGTTATGGCAGTCAAATATGTCTAAGGTCCTTACATTCTCCATTTTCCATCAGCTATGCCTGGCTGAGAAGCTTTTCATAAAGAACACTGGACTTTTCTCCAGACAAAGCTGGTCAGAATGCTAGTTCCCAAATTCTCTTAGGCATATAAATTTGTGCATATTATTTGACTTTCTTGAGTCTTAGATTCCTCAAATGTGGAATGGGTATAAAATCTACTCCACAGAATTTTGGGACAATGAAATAAAATGATAAAGCAAAATAGTTAAGCACAGTCCCTGGAGCTTAGGAATTCAGTAAAACTCTCTTCCCTTTCTGTTTCCCTATTTGTACCAATCTCCAGAATAACTTCCTAAAACTTATCATTGGTTTTTACTAATGTTTGAACTTACCTAATAGTTCTTTTTTGTCAAAACAATTCTATTAAAATAGAAAACTATGTAAATGATGAAGTTTTGAATGATTGCAGATCCTATTCCATTTATTCAGAGAAACAACCTTAATTTTTTTAAATATTAGCACACACAGTGTATAGTTTTATTTTAGAGAATGTTGCTCAAAACTCCCAAAGCCCAGCATACTTTTTGCTCAAACCCACAGGACACTCTGGTAAAAGTGTATACTCATTTCATCACACAGTCAGTTGATGTTAAAATTCTGTCATAGTAGCTATCTTTTAAAATACTGTCATTTCAGGGCTGGAGTTGTAACTCAGTGGTAGAGCACTTGCCTAGCAAGAGTGAGGCACTGGCTTTGATCCTCAGAACCCCATAAAAATAATAATAAATAAATAAAATAAAGATTTTTTAAAAAATACTGTCATCTCTTAGAAAGCAGGGTAGTACTTTGGGTACTATTGCACAATGGCTTTCATTACCTTATGTGTCTCTAAATGACTCAATAAGTTCAAACAAGACAGTATTGATCGACAGAGGATAAACACCATTTTATCTTATTCATGGAAACAGTAACCAGGCTCCTGTAAAGTGCAGTTCTAACAGTCCAAACTCCCCCAGGAAAAGTGGTTGAAAAAGGAGCCCTATTCTCACTGTGACAACCTTGTATTAGAAATCTAATTTCATCTGCTCCTCGGCCTGAAACTATGAATCCAGGCAGTTATTATTAACAAATATTTACTACCAATTGGATCAGTAAAGTTAGTTTATAATTTTATGCCATCAAACTCATTCCAATCAGTTTAAACACAATTTAGAATTTTTACCGTAATAAACTAAAATTTTGCATTGCATGTGTTTGGTTAATGCAAATCAAAAATTAAAATATAATGTCCCTCTTAACCCAAGGGATTGGTTCCAGGACCCCTGATGGGCACCAAAAATCTTCAGATGCTCCAGTATCTTATATAAAATGGCATAATGTTTGTATAGAGTCTACACATATCCCCCTTGCACTTAAATCATTTCCACTTGTTACACTTAATGCAATGTAGATGCTATTAAATAGTTGTTACATTGTATTGTTTGAGGAATATTGTTCAAGATAGAAGTCTGCATATGTTCAGTACAGGTGAAATTTTTTTTCCAAATATTTTCAACCCACAGTGTAATTTGTAGATGGGGAAACTACAGATTTATAGAGACAACTGCATTTTCTTTTGTAAAAAAATTAGTTTTCTCTAAAATATCCTGGTATCTTCAGCTCTTCAGTTGATTTTTAAAGGCATATAAGCTAAGCTTCTCCTTTGTGATTTCCATATATATATTGGTGAAATTTTGTGTATACAGGTATTAGAAATCATTTGGAAAACATCTTCCAGGTTTGCTTGTTTTGTCTCTGGTAAAGTTAGGAGGAAAGTAGTGATGAGGATGGAAGATAACTCCCTCTACTTTGCACAATTGTGTGCAGTGTTCTGCTCCAGTAAATGATACGACTAAAGAGAATTAGCACATGACAATTTGGCCAGACTGAATGTCTAAGTGAGCAAACTGGCTTGTAATTCTATAAAATCCCCCTTTCAATTATGTAGTAATGTCTTCCCTTCCTCCAACAATTAAAAACTAATCATTGTTTTGGGATGCCCAATTGATTTAAAGAACATTTGATCTAAGTAGTAGAATTAACTACTTTAGTAGCTTATTTCCATAGAATATTCTAGTTTATTAAAGTATTTCATACAGAAGAATTTATATGGACTTTTTAACGCCAAGTTTCTTTCTAAACGTAGTATGCCTTTACTTTAAGTTACCTGAGTCCATTTTTTCATCATCCCACGTATACAAAACTAGTGAATTGGAAGATACTCTTGCCTCCTCTGTGTATGTAGCATAGTGCTGATGATGTGATGGGCCTTCAACTACACTACTGAACACTAACTTATCTCTTGCTCAATCAAGATGCTAAATGAAACAATGAAGAGAGTACATAGTGTCCATAGTGATGTAAGAGAAAAAAGAGTCCATGAAGAAAACATCCCTGAAAAGACGAAAGCCAGTCCAGATACTATAATATCCAGTGAAAGAAGTGAAGGAGTGATCATAAACAGGCTGTCAGGGGACTGGTGAAGCATTATGTACACATGCAATTGTGTTTCATTTATAGTATCTTTAGTGTTCTACTATTTATCTCTTTTATTGGGATTCTGTTTAGTGCTTATCTTTTCTGCTAGAAACTCACCATGAAGTAAAATGGCTTATTAGATATACTTAGACCCTGATGCCTTTCATTATTTGCAGTAGAAGTTAGAAATCAGAATCTGATTCCATGGCAGAGGGGCAGGGGGAAATGTGCTGGCACACAGAGATGTCCATCCCAGACTTAATAGGACCAACCAGCCCCCCGTGATCTGGGCATTTATTCCCAACCAATTAATTAACCATATAGTACTGATAATGATATTAATAATAACTTGAACATTCTCATCTAGCTTTGGCCAGGTGCCAGGGCACATTAGTGAACTCATTTATTCCTCCTATAAACTGGATTCTACTGTTATGTCATTTTTCCAACCAAGAAGCTAAGGCTTAGGGATATAGTTAACCTTCTCAAACTAACAAGCTAATAAGTAGTGGAGGCAGGAGTGAATCACAGTACCAC